AAACACATACTAGTGTGTGTTTGTTTCTTTCTTTCTTTCTTTCTTTGTTTTCTAGTATTTGTTGGCTGACTAAAGATGTTTTGTTTTGTTTTGTTTTGTTTAATGTCGAATGCTGTTTATTGAAGGAGGGAGGAGGTCTTAAATATAGGCTTACAGCACAATGGGAGAACCCCAGAGGGCAAAAGTTCAATACCGATGTTTGTTTACAATCTTGCATCTAAGCTGTTAATGCCCAATATGCAGGATACACAGACAAGGAACTTCCCTTAAGCATTCAGGAGGGTGGAACCTGGCAGGGAATTAGCATAGGGATGACATTGAGGTCAAGGTCCGCAAGCAAGGCAACAGTTACCCAAAACAGGGGCCAGGGACCTATAGGTCCCCCCTTTTACTAAAAAAAATGAGCTTCTGACTTAGGTTGCGTGGGACATCAGCAGGTTTCAGTGCAGAATTCTACCAGACTTTCAAAGAAGAACTAATACCAATCCTCTTCAAAGTGTTCCACACAATAGAAGCAGAAGGAACACTACCAAACTCTTTTTATGAGGCTACAATTACCCTGATACCCAAACCACACAAAGATGCAACAAAGAAAGAGAACTACAGACCAATCTCCCTCATGAACATTGATGCAAAAATACTCAACAAAATATTGGCAAACTGAATCCAAGAATACATCAAAAGAATTATCCATCACAACCAAGTAGGTTTCATCCCAGGGACGCAAGGATGGTTCAACATATGAAAATTTCTCAATGTAATACACCATATAAACAAACTGAAAGAAAAAAACCACATGATCATCTCATTAGATGCTGAAAAAGCCTTTGACAAAATCCAACACCCCTTCATGATAAAGGTCTGAGAGATCAGGAATACAAGGAACATTCCTAAACATAATAAAGGCAATTTATAGCAAGCCAACAGCCAACATCAAGTAAATGGAGAGAAACTCAAAGCAATACCACTAAAATCAGGAACAAGACAAGGCTGTCCACTCTCCCCATATTTATTCAATATTGTACTAGAAGTTCTAGCTAAAGCAATAAGACAACAAAAGGAGATCAAAGAGATACAAATTGGTCATGGTATCTTACCACAGCATTAAAAAGGAAGCAAGACATCTTGCAGTGTCTTTGTCAAGTTTCAGAGTGGAGAACAAACTGTCTTTTCTACTCTCCAGTAATAGTTCTGTGAGATGGACATAGGCTTTGTTGTTGTTGTTGTTGTTGTTGAAGTGTTTAATAGGATTCACAGACGAACCTAGATTTGGCATTCTTTTTAGTTTTGATTTATGTGCATAGATGTTTTGCTTTCACATGTCTGTACACTGCTTGCATGAAGGGCCTGTGGAGGCCAGAAGAGAGCATTGGATCCCAGGGAAGCACAGTTACAGACAAGTGTGAGCCACCATGTGGGTACTGGGAACTGAACCCTAGCCCTCTGGAAGAAGAGTCAGTGCTTTTAACAGAGTTATCTCCCCAGCACCACTACCCCTTGAATTTTTAAGAATATGCAACTCTTCAGGTTTTCTGTTTCTTCATCTGTTTGGTAAGTTGTTAGTAAGTCTGAACTCTCTATTTCTTGCAGGTTGTCTAGCAGGTTGTCTAGCCTGTTGGATGTATGGTGTAGGTCAAGCATCCTTCGGCTGGGTCGTTGACCGGAATGAGGTGTCCTCTAGTGTGCTGTGTCCTGATGTTGCTAGTTGTGCCTTCCTCCCTCTCTCCTTGACAGATCTCAACAACTCTCAGTCAGGGTTTCTTTAAGACGTCAGTGATTATGGCTTTTTCTCTATTTGCTGTTCTTGTGTTTGTTTTCCTTCTAATTTGCTGTTTGCTTGCTTGCTTATGTTTCTTGTTTATTGTTATTTTGAGGTCAGATCTTACTACATAGCTCATACTGGTTTAGATACTACCCACTGTCCTTCCTTAGTGTCTCCAGTTCTGGGATTATAAAGATTCATACCACACCATGGAGAAACAGCCATCCACATACATACATATGTGTGTGCATGTATATATGTATAAATATATTATATAAATATAAACATAAACATATATATACTTGTTGTTCATTTTGCTTTTCATTGATGGTGATAACCCAGAGCCTCATTTATATTAGGCAGATACTTAACCATTGAGCTATATCTCTGTCCACGGTTTTGTATCCCTAGACCTCTACCTACTTAAGATAAATGTTCACTATTGATTTTCTTACCTCTTGACATAGTTAACATCTACATCTAAGAAGGACTTAGTGGCAGTCTATACATTTTGAGATGGCATAATTTTAAAATAAGTTTAAACTTAGTATTAAATAATAATAAGTTTGAACTTATTATTTAAATATCAAGTTTAAAATAAGTTTTCCTCATTGTAAAGCAGTGTATGTTCAGTATTCCAAACATGGAAATAATATAAGTACAGCAGGGTACAAGCAATCTGCACTCATCTCATCCCGAGTGACCGTAGTGGACTTCCCACGTCTGGGTTAACAGTGACTTTTTAAGTTCTCCTTTTCAATAGCACACGTGTATTGAATTGAAAAAAGTATAGTAAATACATCATTTGAGACCTGTTTTGCTACTGCCTCCTTTTAGAATGGCTACTTTATCGTCTTTTTTTTAAATAGCAGATCAATGTTGTAATCATTCTCAGTGTGACCGCCATTCATATTATGGTATGACCGCTAGAAGAAGAAGCCACAGAGGACAAAGCTGGCAGCTAGCTGTAGTCCTGGAGGTGGCCATGAAAACCTGAGGAGAACTGAGGAGCCTCTGCCCCACTCCTTAGTGAGCAGTCAGGACTCACACACCGGAGACTGTCACACCTGCTCCCAAATGTGCCCTTCCTTCGAGATGATAAAATATCTCTGGAGTCTCTTCTCCAAATTAATGACATTAAATATTTCTAAAGATACCAGTAAGAATGTTTTTCCTATTATGAAATGAACCCAAGAAAAACAGTTCCACAAACAGCAGTCACTTTGGTGCTATGAATATTTAATAATGGTCAGGAATTCAGTGATACTTAAAATCAACATTGATCTGTAGCCACGCTTAGCAGACCCCTGATGTCAGTGCCTACTTGCAAATGAAATGGAAACGTACTCTATTCAGAAATCCACCCGTGATTAAGGAAAGCAATTTATGAGCTAGACCGTAATCTAATACCCTGATTTCATGAGCAGTAGTTCTGGCCTCGTGTCAAGTTTGAGATAGCAGTAGGTTTCATAGATACCGTTGCTAAGTGTGTCAGGAGAAAACTGAGAACTTTCATTCAAAAATAGCAATGGGATTGTTCACCGTTCCCACAACACAGCATCTAACCTGACAAGGACATAAAGCTGAGGATGATCCATGTCAGGTGAGAGAGAGAAAGGTACACGCTCACTCAAAGTCATGTCTTGTGCATTTTCACGGTGGATGAGGCACGCTGGAACTGCTTACGCATCTCCATGGGAATTAGCTGCACTTAAGGATTCCAGTATGCAGAGAAAGGGACCCTCCAGGTCATTTCCTGTGGGGTCAGTAAGAGCACTTTGGTTTATCTTGGTTTCTTAAGAGTGTACAGCTCAGAAATCTCAAACAAGAATTTTCTAAAACTCAAAACTGTCTGAAAAGCAAAGCACAAGGTATAGGCAGGCTTTGCACTGTGGATGTGGTCATGCAGGGCCTGTAGTGCATGAGTTACGTGTGATAAGAATGTGGCATCCATGCCTATGTGCTTAGTGACCTTCAAACGTGTAAGATGTGTGTGTGATGGAATGCAGAACTTTGTGTCATATTTTTTCACGGTCCCCATATATATTCTCAAGAGTCTCCATATACATTCTTCAGGAGTCTCCATACACATTCTTCAGGAGTCTCCATACACATTCTCTAGGAGTCTTCATACACATTCTTCAGGAGTCTCCATGTACATTCTTCAGGAGTCTCCATACACATTCTTCAGGAGTCTCCATACACATTCTTCAGGAGTCTCCATGTACATTCTTCAGGAGTCTCCATACACATTCTCCAGGAGTCAGTTCTGTGCTGCGGACCTTCCTCTTGTTAGTAACAGCACTTACACTGGATGTTCTCCCACCTAACCCCGCGTGCAACATTTCTTCCCTGTCACTGTGGAGGACTGTGCTGCTCGTGAGATAGCTCCGTGTTTCTCATTGGTAGGTTACTCATACAGCTCCTGCAGTCAACTATAAATGTCTGTTCCCACTCACACTACAACACTCACATTCTGAAGGCAGACAGCTAGAGACTGAGGCAAGACCATCTCAGATTTAAAGCCAGCCTGGTCTCAGCTATATAGGAAGCCCCTATCTCAAGAAAAGTAAGTAAGCAAATAAATAAGAAGACTAAGCCGGGTAGTAGTGGCACACGCCTTTAATCCCAGCACTCAGGAGGAAGAGCCAGGTGGATCTCTATTAGTTCAAAGCCAGCCTGGTCTACAGAGCTAGTTCGAGGACAACCAGGGCTGTTACACAGAGAACCCTAAACCCTGTCTCAAAAAACAAAATAGGTAGATAGGTAGGTAGGTAGGTAGGTGGGTGGGTGGGTGGGTGGGAGGGAGAGAGAGAGAGAGAGAGAGAGAGAGAGAGAGAGAGAGAAAGAAAGAAAGAAAGAAAGAAAGAAAGAAAGAAAGAAAGAAAGAAAAGTTCATACACTTTTATTCCAGGACCATGGGAGATTACATTTTTCACTAATAAAATAACAATCATATCCCTAAAAAATGCACTAGATGTCCCAATTCTAATTGCTGTGAGTGTGTGTATATATATATATATATATATATATATATTTTTTTGTAGGGCAGGGGGAATTGGCTAGTCATGTGAATTGTAGTTTATACTGACTAAGGTTTAAGTGGTATGATCACTTAAGGTAATCACTGAAGTAAGTTATTGAAATTTCTGTAAAAATCCTGGTGGAAAATGTATTAAATTAAATGTGGTTGTTATGGTTCTATTATACTAAAAATTACCATATTTGAATTTTTTAGCAGAGCCGGATCACCATGATCAACCAAAAAGGAAAAGAATTAGAAAACGCAAATCCAAGAAAAACGTTAAAGACCTCAATGATGTTGCTATAAAGCAAGCAGAACTAGAGATGCAGCCAGGTCTCTCACAAGAGAAAATGCATCCAGAGCATCCGGATGCCCCCAAGATGAGCAAAAACAAGAGAAGGAAGCTGAAAAAGAAGCTGCAGCTGAGGAGGAAGAGAGCGGCGGGCTTAGTCAAGGCCTTCGGGATCACCTTCCTGTACCAGCCTGAGAGCAGCAGCGAGGCAGACGGTGACGACGACGTCGAGAGAGGAGAGGCCGAGGGTGACCAGCAGGGCTCGGTCTCAGGCCCCACCCAGGAAGACATCGAACTCGCCAACAGTAAGACAGACAGCCTCCTGAGTTTCCTCAAGTCAACACAAGAAATTTATTTTTATGATGGTAAGTGTCCCTATCCTTTTGAATAATGACATCCACCTAGTATTAGGAAAAAGAACTAAGTGTAGGGTTGGGGATTTAGCTCAGTGGAAGGCCCTGGGTGCGATCCTCAGCTCCAAAAAAAAAAAACAACTAAGTGTAGTAAAATACTTACACTGTTACTGTATAAAACACATGCAAATATTAGTCTTAGTTATTTTTCTCATTGCTCTGATAAGATGCCTGCAGAAGTCACTTAAGGAAGAAGAAGGGGCATATTGGCTTTTACATGTTATTTTACATATAATGAAGAGAGGTCTTCACGGTGGGGAAGTCGGAGCAGGGGCTTTAGGCAGCTGGTCCTATGGCGCTCACAGTCAGGAAGAAGGGACAGTGAATGTCTGTCCTCATCTCTCTTTCTCCTCTTTATACAGTCCAGGGTCCCAGTCTGAAACAGTGCCCACCCACAGTGGGTGGATCTTCCCATTTTAATTAGCCCTAATCAATAAATCCACCATGGACTTGCCCAGAGGACCATCTCACAGCTGATTCTAGTTGACAGTTTGGATTAACCATCACAATATGCCAAGTAAATAGTTAAGTTTCAAGTCAAAACCCAGAACATTTCAACTCTTTCTAACATGTAACTATATTAGCCCATGGCTCCTACATGTTATTTCTCCTATTTACTTTGTGGGAAACCACAGCCAGTGCTGTGAAGTTGGGGCTCCCACCGTGAAGTTGGGGCTCCACGTGCGGATTGAACTTGTGAGCATTACCTTTCTAGAGTTATTAGGCTTTGGGATATGTTGGTGTTTGAGGCTGTGTTTCTAAATGAAAAACATCCCAGCTGGCAGCTTTGAGTGGCTGCTCATTTTATTAGCCACCAGAAAAATAAAAGAGCCATGACTTTTTCCTGGAGGCACACTTACTTTTACTTTTCATATACAACTTGCTGGCTTGAGTTTTCAGGAAGCATTTTTTAGTAACTGTGTATATGTATATATATATAGGATCTGAAAAAAATAAAGGTTTATCCTCATAGTTGACAGTTGTTCATTTTCATACTATTTTATTAGCAGTTGACCTAAGGACCAGAAAGAGCACGTGCCAGTCAGGATCCACCATGATCACACTCAGAATAAGCTGCATTGGAAGTTTGCTCTCCCATTTGGATAGTTTCACTGGGGGGTCTAGGAAAAGGTAGTGGGCGTACTAGATGCAAATTTCAGCCAGATCTGAAATGTTCTTTGTTTTTTTGGTTTTTTCGAGACAGGGTTTCTTTGTGTAGCTTTGTGCCTTTCCTGGAACTCACTCTTTAGACCAGGCTGGCCTCGAACTCACAGAGATCCGCCTGCCTCTGCCTCCCGAGTGCTGGGATTAAAGGCGTGCGCCGCTGCTGCTGCTGCTGCTGCTGCTGCTGCTGCTGCTGCTGCTGCTGCCGCCGCCGCCGCCGCCGCCGCCGCCGCCGCCGCCACCGCCACCACCACCCGGCTTGAAATGTTCTTAAGAGTACAACTGAGAAGTATATAGTCCTGTGAGAAGTGACTGTTTAAACACTAATGTAAAAATAGTCCTGTAATTGTTTGTGAAATGGCCCAACACAGCAGGAGGTCTAACGCCCAGATGACTGTAACTCAGGAAGAGGGTAAACAGGGCAGGAGCTGTTTCTAGAGATGATAACTGGGCTTCTCAAAGTGATAAAGGACATACATACTCCAGCAGGACCATCTTCGTCAGTGTTCTATTGCTGTGAAGAGACACCATGACCACAGCGACTCTTATGAAGGAAAACATTTCATTGGGCTGGCTTGTAGGTTCAGGGGTTTAGTCCATTATCTTCATGGTGAGACGTGGCAGTGTGCAGGCAGACACGGTGCTGGAGAAGAAGCTGAGAGTTCTACGGCTGGATCCTCAGGCAGCAGGAAAAGTGTGACACTGGGCCTGGCTTGAGCTTCTGAAACCTCAGAGCCCGCCCCCAGTGACACACTCCCTCCAACGATGCCACACCTCCCAATAGCGCCACTCCCTGGCGACCAGGCATTCCAGTCTCTGAGCCTGTGTCGGCCATTACCATTCAGACTACCACAAGGACTAAGACAGACACCATCACATATGACACACCGGCAGCCACAGAAAGCTCGTGGCAAAGAAAACCCTGATATTGGCCGAGAAAATATGGTGCATACTACAGTGGAATTGTGTCCAGCTGCAAAAAAAGATTGAAACTGTGACCCTTACAGGAAACTGGAACTAAGACCTTCGTGATGCTCAGCAAAGCAAGCCAGACTCAGATATGCAGACGTTGCCATTGTTTTTCCCATACGGAAATATGAGTTTGCGTGCGTGTGTGTGTGTGTGTGTGTGTGTGTGTGTGTGTGTGTGTGTGTGTCCAGGACATGGGAGTAGAAAGGGGACCATGAGGCGAAGGAAGTGGGGAGGGGGGACGGCAGCAGGTGCGGAGGACATGTGCGGTGGAAGCAGAAGGAGGACAAGTTAGGAACCAGCAAGAGTGGCGATGGCTGCGGGCAAAGGCAGCGGTGAGGCAAGTGAACGCCGGGTGTGCCTGGGAAAAATAAGTGAAACCCATACTTAGTGTGCTGACCAAAAATAGTAAGTAAATAAACGGAAAGTTTAAAGACCTTAAAAGAGCCAAAGGGGGGAAAACCCATTATCTTTCTAAGACAGCCACCTAGCTCAGTGGGCCCTTTGGAGAACAAAGCTGGCCTCTTGGGTGGGTTTTCTATTCGTGCTGAACAGCCGGAACTCTTGGTCTGTTGCCAATGGTTGTAAAGCCCCATAGCATGGCTTTGAGCTTGGTTTCCCTGTCTGTTTTTTCCTGCTGTTGTCTCTGACTCGGAGCACTGTGTTATGCTTGGAAGGCGTTTAAAAGATCAGACACACACAAGCTGACTCTGCAGTGTCGTTCCAACAGTGGCACGTTATTGTCTCTTTCCAGAGTTCTATTCCAGCTCTCCCCTGGGAGCTTGCTCTATCTCACTCATCTCATCGCAAGCGGAACGTGTGTGTGAGGGCTCTTAAGGAAGTGAAAGTTTATCTTGACTCTAAGATCCTGCGTGACTTCTTTCAGATACTTCCAAAGACATCGATCCAGCTGTGTGTGTAGAAACCACAGAAGAGCTGCTGAGCCTCCTTGAGTCTCGGAGCATGCCTCCCTCGGATGTGCTCATTCTGGACCACATGAAAACTCTGCTGCTCCTGCAGGACACTGAGAGGCTGCAGAGCGCTCTGAAGATGTTCCCAGAGCACTGCATGATGCCTCCTGGTAAGTAAGTACTGCAGTGTCTACTCAAGGACTTCCCCCGGATCTGAGCATAAAAAGATACTTGTAGGATAGAACATTCAGAGAAAGGGGCTTCATGTGCTTCTGGTTGGCATAAAAAGATGCCTCGTCGTGTATGCAAAAACATAAATGCCATCTAAGTTTTGGCCTTTGAGTTATCAGTTTTGGGGGCTCTGAATTTAATTGGGAGTGGAATACTTCATTTTTCTTCTTTTCTTCTCTGTCAGTTTGGCAGAGGGTGAAGTTTTCTGTCTTCTGAAGATCTTGATGCTGTATTAAAATCTTATCATTGGGACGGTTAGGACGAGTGTTGGATTACTATGGTGATCTTTCCTTTTCTCACTTCTCCAATCTTTTTCGGTCCCCACTCTATGCAAACTGTAGTATGTGGGTATCAGGCCTGGTGTGTGGTCTGTCTGTCCAGAGGGATGGATAGAGGAGTATGAGGGTCTGTGGTCACCTGGATGCAGCTGAGGGGAGAGGAGAGGACAGAGGCTTCTTTGTGACCATGACTGAGGAGTCCTGAGGGGCTTGAGCAAAAATGACCTGCGACAGGCCAGAGAGGAGACGGCAAAGAAACTGAAGGAGGCCGTGGGGCCGGAGAAGCTCATGGGAAGTCCAGGTGTGTGCTGGGGAAGACAGGGCCTTCAGATGCTCCCCTGAAAGCAAGGACCGCCGCCTGACAGGCCAGCGGCCGGTTGCCTTATCATGCCTATTGTATTATTTGGCAAATTTAAATATCCATAAGAAGGTTTTATGCGGAACTGCAAAAGGTTCTATTTAAAAAAAAAATCAAGGTTAAGGAGATGGCTCAGCAGGTATGAGCACTTGCTAGATATTCATGGGGGCCCAGATGTGAAGCCCCAGGCCCCACCTAGAAGGATAGGAATGAACACATCTCCGGGAGCCAGCACAGAGATGCGCAGATCCCAGATCCTTGGCCAGCCAGCCTATCCAAATGATGAGCTTTCATTTCAACAAGGGGTGTTATCTTAAAGAGTAAGGTGGGAACCATCAGGGAAGACTCCTGAAGTCTCCCTGCAGCTTTTGTATGCACACGTACAGGTACATAACCACACACACCACACTTACCACACTACACACCACACCACACAACACATAGCCACACACATCACACATACCACACCACATACCACAGATACTATACCACATAACCACACACCATACACCACACCACCACCACATAACCACACACCACATCATACCACACACCACATCATACCACACCACCACTACATGACCACACACCACATCATACCACACCACACACCACAACACACATACCACACCACCACTACATAACCACACACCATACACCACACCACCACCAAATAACCACACAACACATCATGCCACACCACACACAACACACATACCACACCACCACTACTTGACCACACACCACACCACATGCCACATAACCACACACCACACCATCACACACCACATAAAACCACACACACCACATAATCACACATACCACACACCACACCACACACACACTCCAGAAGTGTTTTTAAAAACAAACTATATAAAGCTAGGTTTATTAGGTTAAACCAATGGGAATTTTTTATGAGATGAAATTAATTTTACTTGTCCTGCTCTGGCACTTAAGACTTTCATGTGTGTATCCTGAACACATCTAGAGTGTGCTCACGGGGAGACTGCATGTGAGTCACTGGTTCTTAAGATCACTGGATGGATTAGATTTCAGGCACATTTGCCACAAGCACCTGATAGAACTGAAATTTTTGTTTGTTTGTTTGTTTGTTTGTTTGTTTTCGAGACAGGGTTTCTCAGTGTAGCTTTGCACCTTTCCTGGAACTCACTTTGTAGAGTTGGCCTCTAGCCTGGCTCTGCCTCCCAAGTGCTGGGATTAAAGGTGTGCGCCACCACTGCCCGGCAGAACTGAATCTTATACACGGACCTGTTTCTGTAACGCAGGTTCCCTCAAAGCATGGGGTAGGCTATGCACTTAAAATTGTTTCAATGTCAAGCTATTTGGTGAAATAAAGTTTCACAACTAGACGATATTCTTAAATACCAGGTTTGCCTAAGGAGATTTGGCCAGTGTCACTCTTTGGAATTAGGTTTTATTCTTTATAAATGAGCCTATGAAGTCTGATAGCTGTGTCTGCCATCTCTGGGGTCTGAACTTGAAAGCAGGCACATGTATCCTGCCCACCATATCTCCTTTCTCTCCCCGCAGCTTGGGGATTCTCTTCTGAAACGACAGAGGCTTTACTGGAAAAGAACTCCACACCTTTCACAGGCTCGCTGCCTTCAGGATGTTAGGACCATACAGATGCTAACGAAAACTTGGACTCACACCCCCTTGTTCTGTTGTTATCATAGACCCCTTTATGAGCCAGGCTGCCATTTGCTGAGCTGGCCTCTGTCACACTCAGACACTTAGGGACAAGGTAGGGATATTTGCACTCAGCTCCCTGTATTCAGTGTGTGGAGTTTCCTTACATTATCCCAACAGAGAAAAAAAGAAACTTAGAGAGGTCAAACACCTTATCCCTAGGCAAAAAAAAGGAAGAAAAAAAAAGTTTTAGGAGGAGCTCAGAGGGTTTACAGGAAATAAAGGGGAAGTTGGACCAACCCACCCCACCCCACCCCACCCCACCCACCCCACCACCACCACCCCACCACCCCCCCAACCCCCCACCCCCCCACCCCCGGCACCAGATCTCCCAGATACTAGATACTATGTGGTTTGGAAGTAAAGATTCAGATGGACCACATCAAGGGTAGCCCAGGGTTTGGCCAGACTGGGGGAGGAGTCCCCTCTGCCCCCACCCTCCACCTCCAGACTTAGAGTTAGTTTGTATTCTCTGTAGCTGTGGACTGCAGAAGGAGAACCATCCTAAACTAAACTCTAGATGTGTCTATTCTGGGACCTGTGACTCGCGTGCAGCCAGGTAACTAGAAAGGCAGGTATCTGAGAAAAGCCTTGAGTCCTTCGGCAGGAACAGGACGGCTGGCAGGTGATGTTGGCTGTGTACCCTGTCTCCTTAGCCGAGTTTTGGCTGTCCTGGCACAGCTTTGCCACCATGAAAGCCAGAGGCTGTGCGACTCCCGGTACACACCACTTGAGATTCTGATTCTTTCCGTGACCCAAACTGCTATTTTCTTTATATTTTTGTTTGCAGTGTACCATCGTCAGCTGATTTTTATACCGAGATGGCTTTTTATTAGATGATTCAGGGTTTTCTCAGGGTCCAAAGAGCTAAAACCTATAAAATAATGATTATTTATGATTTTATTCTTTGTTTGTTCTGTTTCTGTTTTTGCCTTACAGACCATGCCAGAGTAATCTCAGCTTTCTTTAATTATTGGATCACACATATTCTTCCTGAACAAAAAGCCAGTGAATAAAACAGTACCTCTTTAAGAAGAGCTATCTACTATTTACAAGAAGATGTTAAATACAAATATGGGTGAACTGAGACTTCATTCTTGTACATAAAGATTTATTTTCTTTGTGAATCAAACCGGAGACATTGAAGACATTTCTACCTTATTATTTATTTCTGTGTTTGTATATAGTTGGTAAGATGTTAAGTGAGAAATTGGGGTAAAATTGAAGTGTTTCACTTGCTTATTGTTACATATGTATTGGGTTATTATATAAATAGATTTTTTCTAAAAAAAAAATAAATAAATAGATTTTTTCTAATGCTTGTAATAATTTAAAACAGACATTTTATTAAATAAACAATATAGTTTAAAGTTATCATATTTGTTATAAAAAAAATCACCTTGTGTCTGAAAACCATAATGCCTAGGGAGGTGGCCCAGCGTGTAAGGACTCTAGCTATGCAAGTGATGCTGGGGGTTTGGTCCCCGAAACCCAAAGCTCTTGCCATGGCACACATCTGTAATCCCAGCATGCCTACAGCAAGATGGGAGATGGGAGAATTTCCTGGAGGTTCCCCAGCCAGCTCACCCGAAGTCTGCAGCGCAGCAGCAGAAACAGAGACCCTGCCTCAGCAAGGCGGAAGGCAGGAACCTGCTCTCAAGAGCCTACTCCTGAACATTATTCTCTGACGTCCACTGTGGCGTGTGTGCACCCGCACTCACAAACACACATGCACACGCATGCACACACGAAACAATACTTCTTAAAATGCTATATGGCATTTTAAATACTTTTTAAATACCATATTAATCACAAGTTCTACCTGGCTACCAAAAAGTTTAAATAGTTTGGTTATAACTGAACTTATTCTCTTCCCTCTTGTCGACATTAGAAATGGTATAAAGAATCTGTTTTTCTTGTTTTATCTTTCTTTGTATCAAGGCAACAGCCACCAGTTTCTATACGTTGAGTTCTAAAAGCATTGGTCACTTGACCGCGCAGGTGCCGGGGAAGACACAGATTCACCAGTCATTAGCTCTATCCGTGAAAATATAATATGAATAAAATGAACTTCATGTCTACTCATTTTGGAGTAGTAATGAGTTCTCCCTGGCACCACGGTTGACCCTGCCCTGGCATTATAAGTCTGTGTCACCATCCTGCTCAATTTGAATCTTTTTTTTTTCCCCTGGAGACAGGGTTTCTCTGTGTTGTTTTGGTGCCTGTCCTGGAACTCGCTCTGTAGATCAGGCTGGCCTGGAACTCACAGAGATCCGCCTAGCTCTGCCTGCCTCCCGAGTGCTGGGATTAAAGGTGTGCGCCACCACCGCCCCACCTCAATTTGAGTCTTTTAAAAGTGAAACGTTTATCGGAGGTGTTCAACACATAGCTCAGAGACTGGCTGCCCAGGACAGTTAGGAAGGTAGCCCAACACAAAATTATAAATGAACTTACTTAAAACAATAAGAATGTTTCCTTACTTCTTCCTTTTATTTATGTTTGTTGTTGTTGTTTGTTTGTTTTTCAAGACAAGGTTTTTCTGTGTAGCCTTGGCTGTCCTGGAACTCACTCTGTAGACCAGGCTGGCCTCAAACTCGCAGAGATCCAACTGCCACTGTCCCCCGGGTGCTGTGATTAAAGGTGTGCACCACCACCACCACCACCACCAACAGACTTCTTTTTTTTTTTTTAACTTGGAAGCTTAAGTGTGGACACTATGAATGACAATATGTGTCACATGTTGTACGTGTTCTTGATACCTGGACACATTGATGGTTTTAGTTCTATGGGGGTGCTGTCTCCCACACACAGACAGTTGGGTTAGCGCCGTCCATCAGTGTTGCAACATCTCCTGGTGCCTTGAGAGTAGGATGCAGCTGTTATCAGTGACGTTTTCATCGCCTGGTGCAAACGACAGGTGTTCAGCGTTAGAAGACAGACAAATGTCCTTATCTGAGCAATAAAGGTATTTCTGCCCTCAGCCACGCCATGCGTCATCCACCGCACTTCACAGCCCTCACTTCCCCAAGCCCTCCCTGCCTTCTTTTCCCCGTCAGTTCATTTTCATAATAAAATTACATGTAGTCCCTTACCTGTTATCGTTTTGTTAATCCCAGCATGGCTTCTACAGCATCTAAAACACAGAGGAAAGATTACGGATGAAAGGAGTCTGTAAACAGAGGCCAGGTGACTGCTTTTCTCCTTAAGTCAAATAACCGAGAGAGCACCCTTTGAGGGATATGTTCAGATTCGCAACAAATAGCGTTGGAGTGCTCGCCTGACGCATGTCTGTGCCTGGTGCCCATGGAGGCCAGAAGAGATCATCAGATCCCCTGGAACTGGAGTTACAGATGCCTGTGAGCCCCTGTGGGTGCGGGGAATGAACTCGGGTCCTTGGGGGGAAAGAGCAGCAATTGCCCTTACGCACTGAGCCATCTTTCCAGCCCCTTAACCCCCTCCCCAAAAAATTAAGTTACAACTCAAACAGATTCGATTGTAAAAGCTAGTTAGATGGTTACAACTTTAATGGCAAAAAGGGAAGGGGGCAAAACCATTTTCTGATATTGAATTTGTTGATGAAGGGAAATCTTGGTAGATATGATGTGCAGTGAGGGGGCGTGGTCCAAAGTGAGTTGTCTCACTAGACTATAGCCAGACAGACTGAAAAGAGGGGAAAGTCTCTTGAGAGAAGTCTGGAGAGCCGGGGTGCTAATTTTACATCAGCTTGGCGATGGATGACCATATCAATGCTGCCAGTGCCTCTCAACCTGCCATTTTTACTGGAGGGATCGATACTTAGTATAATGCCGTTAAAGAAACGGCTTCTTTAGTTGTGTTAAAGGACACAGCTAAATCAAAAGGTTTACATGAAGCAATATAACATGTTGAAGCAGGTGCTGGAGAGAGATGGTTCAGCATTAAAAAGTAGTCGATGATCTTCCAGAGGACCCAGGTCCGGTTCCTAGTACCCACATGGTAGCTCACAACCATCCATAACTCCAGTTCTGGGGGATTGGATGCCTTCTTTTGACTTTTGCAGACACCAAGTGTGCACATGGTGTGTGTGTGTGTGTGTGTGTGTGTGTATAAAACATTCATGCACGTAAAAAGTTAAAGCAACAATTTTTGTCCATGGTCAGCATTTCTTGTATAGTTATTGTTAGTGTCCTGGTATGACTGATAAAAGAGAGGGACTTATAAAACTAATCAAAGATGACACAATTTCCACCCAAAACTCACATTTAATGAGGTGTCATGACATAATACATCAAGAAAATGTATACACAGAATCGTTAAAAATGGACAACAGCATACAAATCATCATCAAGACCGACTTTCATAAGAACCAAAGACTTAAGTCATGGCTGGTTCCAGGAATGCCTTAAGGTTGTTGGTGCTGACTGCCAATATCACTTGCTTTTCGGAAGCAAGATATCTAAGTTGAGGCCAAATGTTAAAGAGATTTATGACTTGTAACATATCATCAAATCTTTTATGATTTCACAACAAAGTTGGTGCCAGAACTTGACAATGAAACTGGGTTTACAGATTTAGGGTTTTTATTGGAGTTAACTGTTTGTCTAAGTGAATTAAGATGAAAACAACTTACCGATACATTTCAAATCATGACAGCTTCCAATGAAACTGAAATTATGGCAAGTTCCAATTAAGGCAGTTTTACAGATTCTGATACATTGACTAAACGTAGTGTTGTGGGTGGAAAAATGTAACCTCAGTCTTTTGATATTAGATTTTTAAAACATTTCTTATACTCCAAGAAATAATCAGTATTTCAGTATATTTATGAATCCATTTCCAGTTGACTTAAATATATTACCTGTCAATTTTCAAACAGATTTCAAGTGATTTTCAAACCGCATAGAACTGCAGTCTAACATTCAAACTAAAGAAAAAAAATTTTGAGACAAAGTGGCCTAGAGTTTGCTCTGTAGACCATGCTGGCTTGAACTCATGGAGATCCATCTGCCTCAGCCTCCCCAGTGTTGGGATTAAAGGTGTTCACCACCATGCTCAACAGGAAAAGTTTTATGTCTCTCTTTATTATAAGTTCCATCCTGGAAACAAATACTCTTTCCTTACTTCACAATCATGCCTTATTCATGTCATCCTATTTTGGCAGCACATATATGTGAGCAACTGTTTTCAAGAATGGAACATACTTAGAGTGAAATTAGAGCAAAATATCAGATGAGAATTCAACCTGGAGAACTCACTGAGAACTGCAAATGTGTCTATCAAACCAGATATTTATGCCTTCATTTCTCAAATGTCAAGTATCCCACTGGTTTTATGTTGCCCTCTTTGATAGTAAATTAATAAATAAATGAAGTTTTATCAAATATATATATTGTTTTCTTTATTAGTGATAGCAAACTTGGGACCCGCTTTCTGTACAGGGTGCTTCATGTGGGGCATTTACCCACCACCCCCACAGCTTCCCAGAGTTTTCTTGAGTGCAAGCAGCAGGAAATATTAGATAGAAGGATTTATAGCGGAGAATCTTGTGGAGATAAACAGATAGAAAATAAAGGATAGCCTCGAGAGGGCCTGGAACCTATTCCAACGGGCCCCGAGTGTCTCTGGCCCAGGGTTTTTATAGAGACGCCAAGGGGTGGAGCAAAAGACCTCCTCCCCCAGCACAGCCAAGTGCAGACCATCTCAGACACCTGCACTCAGGCCCGTGGTCCTGATCATCCTCTATTCGGACCTGCTGGGTAAAGCCACGAGGAACCCGAGAACGGGCTCCCACAGCTTCATAATTATTATTTGGGGTCTTTTATCTGTGGTGGTGATAGAGATCCTGAAAATTATACACAGACCTTTGCATTGGCCTTTGTTAGTATTTTGTTTATTTAATATATGCTTCAAGACATGTCATCCCTTGTGGCCCATAGAAGTCGAAAGGTTGGACACCCTGATCTATATTGTCTTGTTCAACAAATCAATGCACTGTTGATAGGCAGGGCATTCTAAGCCATGGTCCCTTCACTTGATTTTGCAGAAGCTTTGGGTTCTCTTCTTCCTGTATCAAATCAAATTTTCCTTTGTGCTGTCTCTTCATTCTCCCAACCCTAAAAGTGTGGAGATACCACTTGGAAAGATGAATGGGATAGAAGAAAGGGGAAGGAGGGCAGGGAAGGGTTGTGGGATATTTGTACACTATGTGAAGATATGTTGCTGTGATTGGTGTAATAAAAAGCTGAATAGCCAATAGCTAGGCAGAAAAGATAGGCAGGACTTCCAGGCAGAGAGAGATCTCTGGGAAAGAAGAAAGGCAGAGTCGCCAGCCAGGCATAGAGGAAGCAGGATGAGTAATACAGAGTAAAGGTAACTGAGCCACATAAAGGAACATAGATTAAAAGATATGGGTTATCTTAAGTTATAAAAACTAGTTAGAAACAAGCCTAAGCTAAGGCTGAGCTTTTATAATTAACAATAAGTCTCTGTGTCACTATTTGTGATCTGGTGGACCAAAGAAAAATCCATGTATATATGGCGCCTAACATGGGGCTCAAATATCTAGACAAAGGGCCTGAGAAAGCTAAGAAAAGTTCTGGGCAAGGAGCCAGATGTGGCTTCCTAGTTCTGTAATCTCTCAGGCAGGCAATGCTCGATATACAGATGCACAGCTACCAGCCATTGCCTGTGGGCTGGAGCCAGAGCGCCATGCACTAAACTGAACAATGTGGCAGCTGACATGGCAGTTTAAGATTTGTCTCATGTGGTTAGAGAACACTACAGGCACTTAGTAAAGTCAGGTCCAGACACAAACTCTTAAAAGGTATAGTATGTTTAAAAATATGCTTGGGTGCTAAAGAAAGAAAAGAAAATGGGTATAGACAGTCATTAAAAAATAGTTTTAGGGTAATAAAGTCTTTTAAAAAAGAATAAATATAAAAAAAAAAATAAGCCACATAAAGATGGGAAATACACAAGATATCTGGATCCTGTATGGTGTTTTGTTGACTTTGAGGTTTATAAATCCAGCCGGGTGGTGGTGGCACACGCCATTAACCCCAGCACTCAGGAGGCAGAGGCAGGCAGATCTTTGTGAGTTCAAGGCGAGCCTGGTCTACAAAGCAAGATCCAGGAAAGGCGCAAAGCTACACAGAGAAACCCTGTCTCGAAAAACCAAA